CACACACACACACCCACACAAACTGACCATTGTTCTGCGCCTGCTCAAGACACAGCAGGATATTGGAACGGTTGAGGTCCTCCTCCAGCTCATCCGGGTGGTTCTTAATGTCCCGCTTCTTGGCGCAGCCGTTCTCCTTTATGTCCTTCTTGCAGGACTCGTAGAAGGACTTGTCCGCTTTCACGTCTTCCGCAATGAGCTGCTGGCGCTCCTCAAGCTTTACTCTGCACTGGAATCACATTATCATCATCATCATCATCATCATCATCATCATCATCATCATCATCATCATCATCATTAACATCATCATCACATACACTTTAAAAAATACAAGTCGCACTCAAAATTGAAAATATTCGGTTTGGTCTTCAAGCTTTTTTTGTAAAATGCTAATAAAAATCATCATAATAGACATAAATAACATCTAATAATGTTACTTTTCAAGCTTCATTCTTGGAATACAATAATATTTATTCCTTAAACTTCTCTCATTACTGGAATGAAATCATCATAACATACATAAACTAACGATCATCCCGTAACTTTGCTTTAGTAAGCGTTTTATAGCACTTGCAACACACAATTAGATCATAAAGTGCTGAAGATTAGAGTCGTTACAACAGAGAAACAAACACAAAAAAGAAGGAGTGATCAGGACGATATTTGTATGATGGGATAGAAGGAGCAAACCAACCACACCAGAGCACCCACCAACCACCCATTTTCATAAGTTCTCCATTGAGACACTGGGACATGTTCACACATGTTCAATGGGTTTTACTTACTTAATCGCCGTTTTTGGACAATAATGCCACACAAGACACAACACAGGTAATGTCAAAAGCAGAGCACTTGATCCCCTGTTACGATACCAGGTTGAGAAGAGATATTTTAGGAAAAGCAACAACAAAAAAAAAAAAAAAAAGCAATCCTCCACAAATTCAAACGTCAGACTTTCAGTCGTAACAGATCAAGTATGGAACCCAGAAGAACAATATCATTATTGTTTTATAGTTTTAGTAGTAGAGGTTTTTCTGCGCTCGCAACTGCATACGGTCATATGAGTGCCAAGGGGTGGATGACAACAGAGAAGTCCGTACAGGGAATCAGGCTTACTCTACTCACCTCTCTAGCTTCAACAGCACAAAGTCTGCTTCGACTATCAAGCAACCCCGGAATTAGCGGGTCACAAGAGAGTGAAAAACATACAAAAGAAGTATAGGAAAAATTATGATAGTAAGGATGAGGAAAGAAAAAGCAGCAGTTCCCTGCACGCAGTTCAGGCACAGTTAGGAGCATGACATTAATGGATCAGCTCAATTACAGTTTTACTGAGCATAAGAACATGTTAATATGTCCCCCCTTTGGGAACGGCCTAAAGACACTTCAGTCAGTTGCACTGCCCAGCGGGGGTCATTATCATCCGAGTGCACAAAAGCGCAGCCACCAACCTTCTTGGACATCAGTTTGTCTCCCATGTGGTTGTAGAGACACTTGAACACCTGGCCAGACCCGGCCACCGTGGTCGCACACAGCACCTCGCGGTCAGCCTTACAGGCGTAGTAGAGAGGCCTGTCCAGATGGTAGTCGTCCGCCTGGATCTCCGCCACCTTCAGCAGGGCTGTCTTGCACTTGGTCTGCAAATCATCTTTCTTGTTCAGGCAGGCCACCACATGACCCTGAGAGTGGGGGCTCTGTAGATAAAAGAGTAGAATCACAGTAAAGTTTCATGTCAGGTTTGTTTTGTTTTGGTTTTTTTGGTTTTGGGGGGGGGGGGGGGGGGGGGGTTGCTTTTTTGTGTTTGTTCGTTTGTTTTTGTTGGGTTTTTTTGCTTGTTTGTTGTTGATTTTGCTTTGTTTTTAGTTGTTTTTTTCTTTTGTTTTTTGTTTGTTTGGGGGGGGGGGGGGAGGAATTGAGAGTTTTACAGCACTTGCAACACAATTAAATCCCATAGGTACTGAAGATTTTAAAGGTGTTTTTTGTTTTTGTTTTAGTAGAGGTTCTTCTGCGCTAGCAACTGCATAAGGTCATATGAGCGCCAAGGGGTGGATGTCAACAGAGTAGTCCTTACAGGGAATCAGACTTGCTCTGCTTATCTCTCTAGCTTCAACAGCACAAAGTCTGCTTCAACTATCAAAGCACCCCAGAAATAGCGGGTCACAAGAGTGTGACAAACATACAAAAGAAGTAGAGGAAAAATGACGGATAGTAAGGATTAGGAAAGAAAAGGCAGCAGTTCCCTGTTGCAGTTCAGGCACAGTTGTGAGCATGACATTGATGAATCAGACAATTTACAATTACAATTTTACTGAGCACAAGAACATGGTTAATGTCCCCCTTTGGAAATGGCCTAAAGACACTTCAGTAAGTAACACCCCCCTGGGGGGTTAGTAAGTGTTTTACGGCACTTGAAACACAATACCGTCTTATAAGTGCCGAAGATTAGAGGTGTTACAAGAGAGTAACAAACACAAAAAAGAAGGAGGGGAGATAAAGACGATGGATGTTTGATAGGAAAGAAGAAGCAAACCATACCAGAGCATCCGCCAACCACCCACTTTAAAGGTGCTATGAGAGAGTGACATACAAATTTTAAAAAGGAGAGCCTTCATAGTTTAAATGGAAACTTTCAATAGAGCCAGGACAGCATTTAAACATTAGTTGATGACCAGTTGTATTTCACGCGATTTAATTAAAAGCTGAGCACACTGTACAAAACCAATCAACAAACAAAAAAACCCCACTCACATCATCTTCCTCTGATGGCTCCAGTCGTCCACAATGATATTTGGCGATGTCTTCATTACAGTCAGAAACAAAAGGTGCCATGAAACGAAAATCGCTGAAGATAATGGTGGCCATTTTGTTGATGTAACTCTGACATGATGAGGTCTCAATCTCATCGTAATGTTCAATGAGACATGGGATGACTTGGCCTTGCCCTCTTGGCAGGTAATTGCATTCACTTATCTGAGGAGAGATGTTACAGAAGAAAAGAAATACAGAGACCCATTACTTACAGTGGTCTTTAAAAAAAGCACTCAAATAGCTCAGATCAACTCACATCTAGCTGCGGATGACCCAGCTTTGAATCCACAATGGGGCACTTTTGGAAATGTGTTGTACAAAGTTTTCATAGCTCTTCACCCTCCAGGCCCAGTTTTATCCGTGAATGTGGAATTAGAGATCGGACCTGACAAATTACCCTAAGATTTTAAAACAGCTGTTGAAACCAGTACAATATTGTCCAATCTTTTATTCGATAACACTCATTAAGAATGTGCCCTATCCATACTTCATGATTTATTTTGGCTAATTTTTGCTGTTGACAAACATATGCCTTTCCGATCCACTCAATGAACAAGAAGGATCTACGAAGAAAAGAACGGTATTTTTCTTATTTTATTCCAGTCAGCATCTATTTGCAAGCTATTAACTACTATAGTCTTATATCTATAACATTTTTATACCACTATTAGACACAAACAAACAAAAACAGTTTCAAATCTCATTAAAATCAAAAACGGGTAAAGCTGCACAAGGACTCAAACATTTAACAAAAAGTTGCACTTACACCATATGGAAAAAAAATCACCTCATGTGACCGACACTGAAAGATGTGCTAAAAATGATTGTGTTCACTGGAATGTTCACTGGAATGTATATTTTATGTCCAAAAGAAATCTAATGGTCTCTTACCCTTGACAGCTCGGCTTTGCAGGCTTCTTCTGAGGCCGTGTCAAATCTGATGTCCTTAGTAAGGTTGACTTTGTAGTTCCACAAAAACTGCGGGAAGACAAGCAACAAAGGGTAAAGTTATTATCTATCTCTATGAGGAAAAGAAATCACATCGAAACAGATATTTGATTTAGTGGAAGGTGTTTTTGCAAAACAGAAACAAACAACATTAAAGAAGTAGAATACCGGTGGTGTCTTTCAATCACCTTTAAGCACACCCCTTTTTATCCCTGCTTTTTAGTACATAACTTGAAGTGTAATTATTATAATATTATCATTGGTTTCCAAGCACAAGCAACCATAAAAACTTTTGATCTATTTTAAGTGACCTGTCTTTTTGTCTTATTTTTCTTCATCACCATCTTCTTCTACTGTAACGTGTGTACAAAATTTTACCCGACTTTCCAAGCACATTCAGTGTATATTATTCTATACCGAAAGGCTTGCTTAAAAACAACATGCATGTTACTTTTGTGTGAAAATGGTAGACCATACTTACATGGTGGCAGTTTTCTGAAACTTTATCATGGGTCTGAAAGAAAAAAGAAAAGAAAAATCAAATTAAAGTGCTGCAGTGAACAGTTTTGTAACGAAGATTTCATTCTAGTTGTCTTTTTTATAGCAAATACATCTAATTGGGTCTGACAACTTAAAAATGTTTAATACATTGACGCAGTCCCATATAAAACACTCACTTCTTTTCTATGACTTCCTTTGTTATAGATGATCACTTCTTTATCAACTATCCATAAGTCTTTACTATGCCTTACATGTACATTAAACCTTCCATTTTGTTTTTCAAAAAAGAAAAGGTACAACTGAAACCAAAAACCCTTGACCAGAGATAAAAGAAACCAGAAAAAAATACCAAACTTCAAGATGCTGATACCCACTGGAATTGGACAGGGACATTATGATTTTGTATTTAGACAATGTGATGATGTCTTGTTTCACTTCTATTTCGGCTGTTTCCATATTTAAAGCTGTAAGTGTAAGAACTCTAAACCCAGATTTTTTTTTCAAAACATTCCAAAGCAATACCAGAGTTCTGACGTGCACTGGTTATATGCAACATGAAAGTCGAAGCTTCAAATATCTTGAAAAACTATACAAAATTTCTAACTTATATGATATGTTGTTATTGAACAAGATACTATTACTGCAAACTTCTATTCAGAATGTCTGAATGAAAGGTAAAAGTCAACATGAACAACTAGTGATTTCACCTTCTGACTGTCTTGCAAGCAGTCAAGGATCATAAAGTTGTTGCTCTGCATTCTGTCGGAGCAGAATCTCTTCACATCATCAGCACATTCTACTGTGTCTTCAAGTCGGATCTGTGGCTTTTCTTTCCCGGAATCAGCAGCATGCTTAGGTGCAGCCTGGTTTTCAGTGCCAAATTTTAACTTAGGGGTTCCATCCAAAGCCCCCGCTGCCAAACCACTCTTCAAAGGTAATTTGGGAGCTCGCACCATATCGTCACTGTCATCATGTTTGTCCGCTTTGTGCAGTGTAGCTCTTTTTACTCTCGTGAGCTCCGCATCACTGTGACACAAGAGGACCACCAAACAGGAAGCAATGGCCACCGTTGTTCTAAACATGTTTGTTTTTTCTCTCGCATGAAAGTCTCCAAGCCAATGCCTCTTGTCAATGTCTACAATGACCTGAAAGCAAGAGCAGAGAAAATTTTTTTAACCTGAGGATGTCACCATAAATAATAAATAATAATAAATAAATAGCATTTGTATAGTACATATCCCCGCTCAACAGCAAGCTCTATGCGCTTTACACTATGTTATTACCCCAGCAGACCATTGAACACTCCGAAACATTCTCAGCTTCCCGGGAAGCATACAGTGCAAGCAGCTGATTAAGCGCTCAAACACTAAATTCCTACCTGGGTGAAGTGAGGGAAATTTGTGTAAAGTGCCTTTCCCAAAGGACACAACGTTGGGCCCCTGACGGGATTCGAACCCACGACCTTACGGTTGCGAGTCCGAGAGCCTAACAACTAGGCCACCGACGCCACATTTAGTTCCATGATGACAGAAACAAGCCAGATAGCCCACTATACTATATATAAATTTGCCTTCTCTCAGGGTGCACCCACCTAAATAGACAGCACCTCAAATTTGAAGAAACCCACGCTGAAGTCAGCTTTCCTGAATACCCTCATCCCAATCCCCAACTTTTATTATTATTTTTCTTAATTTACAAAGCTGCAAATGGGTAGAACTACTTTTTTAATAAGTAGAGCAGGGCACAGATATCTTGAACAAACGCAAAACTCAAATTCAAGAAAAGTTCAAACAATATGCCATTCCCTGTCTTAACCCCCTACTTTTTTATATATTGGCGACACTGTTTATCTCAAACATCCGCACGAATGTCTTGAACAGCTCATCTTAAAAAGCTCAGGTCAATCATATTTTTTCTCACAATTGTCTTGAATTCAAATCGTCCCATGCAAGGGAAGAAACACTTTTGAACACACCCATTATCATTGAGAGAATCAGGCTACATGATCCCACCAGGTTCAACCACGCATACTGTGATACACACCCTGCTGGTTTCAAAGATGCAACATCAATATATTACCTGTAGTGTGCGTAAGATGCGAGAACTTCCATGAATCTAGTATGTAAGGGTGGGCGCTGGATGGTGGGGTGAGATCGAAGACAGACAGTGTGGTGTTGCATTAAGCCATGTGGTGTGTGCATTATGCTTGTGGTTGCAAACATGTATGTGTATTTGTCATGTGTGCATGTGAGGCTGTTTAAACGGGAAGAGGATGGATCAGGAAGTGGTTACATATATATAAGGGTAGAGGGTGGTGAGCTCTGACCAGTGTTGGTTTAGCAATGCCCACCGAGCGCGTTTTGTTCTGCCGATTTTTGGCCCCCGCAGCGGGGGTGTTTCGTGGGACGCACTAAGGCAAAGGTTGTTGTCTTCAACTCGCTCTCACGCCGCTTCTCGAGAATGGATATGAATGAAACTTGGCAGCCAATCAGAAAAGAGGTCAATCTCGTAGTATGCAGTTTGACAACATTGTACCCATCCTAGAAGCAGTCGAAAATGTTTGCGAAAGTGGTTGATGTGGTGCGCTTTGAAGATTTTTCGGAGCTGTGATTTGTCGAACTGACTGATGGGTTGAACACCATTTTTCTTTATTCCCTTAAAATTTCAAGCTTCTGTGTTAAGCGGTTTTCACGTAATCTTTAAAAATGTGGGAGTAACTGAGGGAAAAAGCGGCATTGCCATTTGCGCGTGCTGGGTGAACGACCGGCGGCTGGGAAATTTCCACTGAGTGACGTCATCAGCCATCGGTCGCCTCTGGCGCTACAAACGAGGCCCCGCTTATGTGAACTGGAAAGGGGGGGGAGGATACTTGAAAACTAAACGGGGGCCTTGATAACTTGCGTTTTTGTTGCATTTTAGTCACAATACAATAGATGTAGTCATTTTTATTTGCTTGATTGCACGACAGAAGAATAGAAACAGAAAAGCAAACATCTTGAGAAGTGGTATGGCATTGTGTGTTTGCGTTATGAAAGCCTATTCCCCCCTCTTGGGAAAGCACACACTTGGACTCGTCCTGTATGCTCTGTTTGGAAAAGTGAGGCATTAATAAGATTGTTATTAAAGAGTATGGTACTTATTTAGTCCTGTCTGGGAAGATAGTCCCGTTTATACAGTATATTGTTATCGTTCACGCGTGCGTGCGTGCGTGCGTGCGTGCGTGAGTGCGCGCGCATGCATGTGTGTGTGTGTGTGCGCGCGTGAGAGAGAGAGAGAGAGAGAGAGAGAGAGAGAGAGAGAGAGAGAGAGAGAGAGAGAGAGAGAGAGAGAGAGAGAGAGAAGGGGGGGGGGGTGTAAATATGTTACATTTATTGTATGAGTTGTAGCCTACACATGCGAAATATTCCCATGACTTGTTAACTATATATTATCTGAACGCATCTCAATCTACCACACAATAGGACACTGTCCAACAAAGGATACACTGAGACGATCTTATTTTCTATTACAAAGTATGCATGCTTTTACTAGTACAGAACTGGATTTATTAGACTAATAAATCCAGCTCTTTACTTACATTTTTGTAACAAATTGATCCAGAGCATTGCTTGGCAAGGAGGAACCTTTTATGTTGCCTAGTTTCATTCAAATATCATGACTTTGGGAGAACATAGGACTGATAATCTTTGTAAATCTGTAAAGAACGCCACTTTTATACCTGTTAATGTCTTTACAACTCAAAAAGTATGACAGATATTAAAAACCTGAATGCATGACTAGATTCTCCATTAAAAAATGTACTAGACTGCCAAGTTTCATTTACATATTCCAAGAAATAGGCGAACTATGACAAAAATATATTGTCTCAAAACGCAGCGAAAACCGCCACATTTTTACCTATAAACGTCTTCATTACTCAAAAAATAGGATAGCTATGAAAAATCTGAAAGCAGGACTAGATTCTGCACTAGAAAATGTACTGGGTTCCCAAGTTTCTTTTAAATACTCCGAGAAATGAACGAGTTATGACGAACATTGTCTCAAAACTCATCAAAGAACGTCCCATATTTTGGGGGGTTTTCATTATATAAAAGTGTACCAAAAAATTAATTCATTAAAAAATCCGTAACTTTTTTGTTTATTGATGGATTTCAAATATTCAAAAAGTTCCATGCTCTGTGAAGATTAAGCTACAAAATAAATGCATCTATGTGCAAACACTTTCTGGCAAAAAAAGGTTTTTCGTGGTCATTGCTAGTTGGTTACATTGTCCGTTGTCATGAGCACGGTCTGACATTTACAAGAGAGCAGTGTCTTCAGGCTATAACGGCATCACTCTCTTCCTTTTTTTTTTCTTTGACATCGAACAAGGCACACGCATTATCCATCCTTCTACCCTTTCATCGGTACTTTTTTCATTATAATGGTCGAGAAGAGAAACTTATCTAACAGGAACCAAGTGTCAAATTTTTCAGAGGTTGACAAGAACCTCTGCACTGTCACTAAGATGGAAAATTGAATGAAATATGGTACAAATCAGCCCCTTTCAATGTTTTTCTAAAAATCAAGATAAAATCGACAAAATAAGGCAATTTGCGCGTTTAGCAAAATTACTGTCACAGATACTTCCCTTGATTTCCTTCAGTCTCTCAGTATTCGTGTAAATCATGGTTTATTCAGATAACAGCTGTGTTAAACACATCATGCGTACATTCGTCATCCACACCACACCCCGGCGTGTTTGGGACATCCGTGCTCAACAGACAGTGGATTGGGTAAAAATGACAGCACAACCGCACAAAACCGTGGGGGAGGAGAGGATTTTTTAAAAAAGAATTTTATAGTTTGTTGTTTTTTTATAGTGGAGGATTTTACGGCGCTCGCAACTGCATAAAAGGTCATATGAGCACCAAGGGGTGGGTGTCAACAGAGAGAAGTCTTTACAGGGAATCAGACTTACTCTGCTCACCTCTCTAGCTTCAACAGCACAAGGTCTGCTTCGACTATCAAGGCACCCCGGAAATAGCAGGTCACAAGAGAGTGACTAACATACAAAAGAAGTAGAGGAAAATGACAATAGTAAAGATTAGGAAAGAAAAAGCAGCAGTTCCCTGTTGTAGATCAGGCACAGTTATGAGCGTGACATGATGAATCAGCCCATTTACAATTCTACTGTGCTTGAATGAGAAATTTCATCCCTTTGGGAACGGCCTAAAGACATGGAGTCAGTGGCGCTACCTCGGGGGAAAATAAAGAATCATGTTCTTATATTGAATGCAACATTGAAAAATTACTTCACAAGATAAAAGTGATCTGGATACAAAACTTTAGTCGCCAGTCATGTGACTGAACGGGAGGAATTCCATATATCGAGTTACCACTATACTGAGTAGAAATAAAGGGTTGGAGTTAGGATTAGGGTTAGGGTTAGGGTTTGGGGTAAGGATAGGGGTAGAGTTAGGGGTAGGGGTAGGGTAGACGTAAGGCGTAAGGGTAGGAGACGTAAGGGTAGGGGTAGGGTTCGGGGTTGGGTCAGGGTCGTCTCTTTTTTAATTGTATCTGTTGGGGTGGTCGCTCGATACGGAATGACTGAACAATATAAGATCAAGATTAAGCTTTGGGAATTTAACGTGCTAAAGTATAATATCACCCAGAACAGAGCGAGCATCGCCTGTCCTGTGGCTGTTGTAACAACTGTAAACAGTACAGTTCGAAATGTTATATACCGTAGATCTAGATTTAGATATTGCAGCTTTTACCGTTGTTTGCAAAGGGCACGAAAAGGGGGTTACCGAAAAGGTATTGCATACTGTAAGGTGTTCACAAGAAAAAAGACATTGACTAAAGGGGGAAAATTCAATGATTGAGGAACCACTAACCTGACACCTACCACATTCGCAAGATGATCCCAAAGTTTTGACGTGTTACTCCTCCTCACAGCGGATGTCACAGTCAGTTATGCCCCTTCCTTTGATTCCATGTCGGCTCTTTAGCGAACAAGAACTCGTCGCTTGGCGACAGGCTTATGCATAGACCCAGACCTAGAACGTTTTGTTCCAATAGTAGCAAAAGGTTGTCAATGTGTAGCCTATTCATCTTCGCTCTTGGCGTAAGCTAATTAACTGGCCTTAGAGCCTCTTTCAAGCCTAAAGCCAACTCATGCTAAATTGAAAAACAAACTGTGTGGTGCAATGGCAATTTCAATGGCAAAGCAAAATAAGAAAGCAAACACGAGCGCTTAAAAAGCGGTAACTCTGAAAGCGAAGAGGAAGCAAAAGCTAAAGTAGAAGTTACTGAACGCATCCTTGGCACATGGATGATCTTTGATTTCAGGGTCAAGTTTTAGCCTTGGTGAGCCCGAGAAAATTCCGTACCTTGGTCTTACACGTGTATAGCGTGCTTACGTCAAGTTTTACAGATTTGTTTGGCCTATTTTGATTAACGTATTATATTAGCCAAAGTTTATATTCTGATGACGATGGCTGTTTTGGGTTTTTTTAAATAATGAGAACCAAGAAAGCTCATTTTTGTCTTTGCAAATTGTCGAAATAAATCTTCTTCTTCTAATTCTTCCTCTTCTTCGGCTTCTTCTTCTTCTTCTTAACATACACCCCCC